GCCTACATCCTTAGATACAATTAGGAACATATTTAAAATTGTATTAAAATATATATATTTAAAATTGTATTAAAATATATAAATTTCAATAAAAAATATATATACCAGTTAGTGCATACTACATAGGAAACATCTGTATCACTAACAAACAAAAAAAAATTAGTAATTAAGAAATAATATTACATACTAAAAAAAATTTTTAACTTCCAAACAATAATAAGCAATATAAGACTTTAAATGAAACAACATATCAAGTATCAAGCAACTAATATTCAAAGTTTCTTTATAATTATACTTTTATAAAATAATTTTTTCAATATGTACCTACTTATTATAATGAAATATATATCAGAAATTATCAAAGTCTACAAAATCAAAGTAAAAAAAAAAATCCTGAAATTTTTTTACAAACCTGGACTTCGAAAGTGAAATACTTCTTCAAATTCTTGACAATAAGTACCAAAAAAGGTAGCTTGATTCCTAATGTTTTACGAGGATCAGCTGGGCAGGTTATAAAAGCTGTACTAAAATAAAATATATATATATATACCATTTAGTGCATAATTTAGCTATTAAAAATAATCTTAATTAATAGAACATATTTTTAAATATTGGTACAAACTTGAACTAGCATATTGCGAGTTTGCAAAAAAATTCTTTGAAAATGAGAAAACTAAATAAAATTCATAACCTTACCTAACATTGTTGCCAACAATTTCTAATACCAATGATTGGATATCATTATCAGTAATCCTTTTAATATGTCCATTTCGTACCTATTAAAAACGGTAAAATCATTACATAATTGCAATAACTTTAATGTAATCAAACAATTATAATGGATAGCTATCAAACAAAATTTATTACCGACAAAAAGTCAATGGCCTCTTGAATCAGCATGCATAGAGGTATATTGATATGTGCACTAAATAATTGGCCCGTTTTATTGCTACATTTCCATAAATTTAAAACATTTTTTTTCGTGCAATAATTTTGTAATAAATTAATAAAATAATTTTGTAAGTTTTGCAGGCACTCAAAAGTATTAGTATAAAGGTCTTTCCAAAAATCTCCTTTAATAATTCAAGATATGTATGAAAATACTTTTATAAAGATTATAATATTGAGAAAAATGTAAAATAGTAAAAATATGAGAAAATAAATAAAATGGCTTGAAACAGTGTTGTTGTTAAGAAACGTAAAATTTCCTAAATATTTGATTTTCAATTGTAAAACATTTTAATATTTGAAAGACAGCCTTCATGTTTCACAACAAAATAAAATTCATTCTTAAATCTTTTTTTTATACATTTTATTAACAACTGGTTCTAACAGTTCCATTTAAAGAACAGAAGCCAGAACTCAAGGATGTCAATTTTTCTAGATTTTATAACCGTCGTACAGCAGCCGAAACAATTTTTTGATTTACGACTGCTACCAATGTTCAACTCCATAGCCTTGTAATTTTAAAGATCAATCCAGAAGACAATTTTTTTATACTTACTTACTTACATACTTATCCTCTACGTGCCTTGGGCACT